GCAATTGATTTAAATTCCAGCTTAGACTTGAAAGTTAACGTTCGATTTGTACTTGGCACCGGGCTTCCAACCGGCCGGAATGACATTGGAAGCCACAACCGTCTCGCCGGAGACCAAAGTCACCCGGAGAGACAGTGGGGCCCGCAAAGGTGACGTCACGTCGAGCTTCCACACGGCACCCCATGAGTGGCTCATGGTAAGCCACTTGTCAGAATCTAACGCTTGTTTGAGTTCGACACGGCCGATTTCTCCGTCTCCGTTTACATACTCAACCAAAGCCGCGAAGTAGTTAGTGTTTGAACCTTCATCCACTTTAAACGTCACCGTTTGACCAATGTAGTTGCACTCAACTCTACACATCAAATGAAAAATAGTTAAACAATCAATAAATTAAAACCTTATAATATATAACTAATGAATATGAGTATATGACATGAGCTTTGGTTTGGCACAAGGTCACTGCCCTAACGATATAGATTGGAACATTTTTAATTTAATTCTTTATTCTTTCATATGTTACACTAAGTGTAAACCAAAAAAAAATATTTGAACAAATTCAACATTCAATTAAAAAAAAAAAAATACATACATACTTTCTATAAAGAATCTGCAAAACTCCGACATTACGGAGCTGACTATCTTGACCCGAAATTGCCATTGCACCAAACACTGTCCCGCTCAAATCGAAATGGACCGACTCTGTAACGCATCCAGGACACTCGTCTGTGATCACAGCCGTGATGGGGTTTCCCGAACAAATCGATTTCGACGTACATTTTACCTTTACATATATATCAAACTATCAACATCAATCATAGTATAAGTTAAACGTTGCCAAAAAGAATCATAATATAAGGTAAACTTTATTTTTGATGTCTCTTGCTTATATTATTATATTGAACCTGATAACATGCGCCACACCCTTTCCCCGACTTAAACAACGAAGGCCCTCCGGCTGATACCATGGACGAGAACGGAGCTTGTGCCACGTCCTTTCCATATCCACAAGCACCACCTTCATAATTTTATAATCATAATTAAAAGAATTTGTATATAGCTAGCCAAATAATAGGTTGTTTATCTACGTAGAGAAGTAATTTGTACTTGTACATAACAAAACACATGCATGTATATATATACCGTCGCTTCCGTAGCCGGTAGGACTGCCATACCACGTAGCTCCGGCGTTAGACCAATCGGAACCGGCGGCTGAAAAATTGAGTGTCTTGGGGTTAAAGCAATGAGACAAGTTTAGTAGAAGAAAAATTAGACAAAACAGTAAGTTCATGGTCTTGTAATATCGCTCTACGACAAGAATTGTCATTGTAATAATGATAAGTTACTAATAAGGAGCATATTAGTTGCTATTTATAGAGCGATCGAATCCCGTAAAAGACTAATACAACGTCCAACTGTTTCGAGACACGTGTCATTTTTGTCTAAAAGGTACTACACGACACGCGAAGTCTTTTTGGTTTTGTTTACTTTTACTACGAAGTGGACCCCACGTGACGGTTATCGGTTAGGCCCACAGTTGTATTTTTATATGGCCGAATCATACGTTTGTATTATGAAATTAATTATTCTTTTTCCCCTAAATCAAGGTGATTTGGAATTATATTGGATCTTCTCCCGTATTATCGTATATATACGGATGGTGATTGATGGCGAAACCTGTACGTTAATATAGATGTTGGAAATTCATCACCACCGTTGAATCTAAATCTCACGGTTAAAAACGATTCAATTGCATAATTTTTCTAAAGTTTTTATTTAACTAATGTCACGAGAGGTTTGAAAATAATCGCAGTCTGTTTGAACGTAAAACTTGACCGTAAAACTTGGCGTAAATCAGGTTCGTATGACGATTTACTGAAATGAAATCG